TATCTTGTTTGTTTTTATCACTCGATAAAGCTTGATCATCTTTTACTTTAATCTTCACTTCGATCTGAATTCCCGAAGATTTCGAACGAGAATGATTCTTTTCCGACACAGATAACTGAGACTTCTCATCATCGCTTTTGCTCTCTGACAACTTTCTTTTCTTGCTTTCTTTCATTGAGGAACTTGAATTGTCTAATTTTCTCTTTCTGCTATTGTTTTCATTAACCTCGGTCATCTTGTCACTATTTTTTTTCATATCATCATTTCTACTAGAATTATGCTTTGTTGAGCTGTGACCTTCTTCCTTTTTCACACTGCTTTTACTGCTCTTTTCACTCGACTTCCTTTCATTCTGCGCATAATGTTTGGAGGAATGTTTCTTTTCATGCTTTTCTTCTGATTTAGACTTTGACAGTTGCGTTGCATTCTGTTTTGTAGACGATTCACTCTTGATTTCTTTATATTTATGCCTATGTTTTGATTCTGATGACTGTTCCAATGAAGAAGAACTATATTCTTTCACATCCTCTACCTTTGATTCCTGGCTCTCGGTATGATTTTCATGAACATCAGGTACACAAATTTCATCCTCATCTTCGCTGGTTTCTTCATCCGCTACCATTACCTTCCATTTAAAAACTAAAGCCTTAGCAGCATCACCCACAGTACCATCATATTTCCTAAAACTATTCACAGTCCTTCCTACTCCTGTTTCTTGAAGATGTTGCACTGTCACAGGCAGATTATACAATTTTGAAATGCAATGCAATATCTGAAAACAATTAGACACAAAAATTAAGTTATTAATATCTCTATAGATTACATTTAAAATGTGGCAAAATTTTAAATAAGAGTATGGAATTTTTCAAGAAAGTCTTATTGACTTTAATTCTTTTCTAGGTAATATGCATCCATTAGACATACTGATTTATATTTTATAAATACTTTAAATTGTATGATGAATGTATTTTTCAAATTTTTTTTCTATCAATTTTTATTTACATTGAGATAATAATTATTGCAAAAGATACCTGGTATCATAAGCAATAACAGTGGATGTAGGTTTGTTTAAAAAATATTATTCCTTATAAAATCACTGTGCATATATATATAAAAACAAGAAATATTTTTAATATATATTAGAGTTTACAAAACTACAATTATATTTATATAATTACAATTATTTTTAGTGCTTTCAGATATTTCTATAAAATTTATAAATATTTCAATAGTATTATATTGCATTATTTAATCAATACTTCATCACATTGCTATTAATAGATAACATTAAGAAAAGTATTGTTTGCAAAAGTGAATTCGAAGCACAACAAATGTAATAATAATTTTCAATGCTCAAGAAACCGAGTTTAGCAAAAATTTAATCAGGCATTTAATCGATTCCACGATGATGGTGTGTTGAGGTTAAACGTTATTCATTAGTCAGACTTTACCTAGAATGTAAATGCAAATATCTTAATAACCCTGATACATACTCGATCTTTGTTATCACTGCATTTCTGTAAATTTCGCTGATAATGACAAATTTTGTCGACAACAGACATATTGTAACTATCGATAACAATCAGCTGCTCGTTGCTGGTGCTAGTCAGTTAGCAAAGAAATTCGGTACATGCACTAGGCGTCACGAAAGTTTAGCATTTCCGGTTTAAAGTTCTCCTTGCATCAGTATTCGACACTTTGGTTCATTTGTAAATTGGCCAATAAATTATTCAAATTGTTCTGGATTTTATAATTAACAATTATTATGCACAAACATTCAGACACAATGTATAGTTACAAATGTGAGACATAAAATTGCAAGTTGTCTCTCTTGTGTTCCGAACTCATGGGTGTATTAGTCACGACATCTATTAGAAACCTATGAACCTTTTTACTTACTTCATGCATCAACAGTAAATAAAAGAACATTGAAGCTTATCGATCAACACTAAGTGATTTGAGTCTCGGCTAAAATAGTTTGAGTCTTAGATAAAATAATTCGATAAAATTTTAGCCAAGACTCGACCTATTTTAGCTAATTATTTTATCCTAGATTTTTGTTTTAACAGATAGCTATGAGTGTGAGTTCACAAGCCAATTCAAATGTGCCTTGACACTCGTTGACAAATTCATTCTGTGATTGTGTATACAAATAAAATATAATAAACTGTGATTTATGTAAAAGAATTTATTCCTTATATTTTTTTCGTTTAGCGTTAATATCTTGTTAATTATGCTTATTGAAACATGGCTGTTATTATTATTGTTAATTTTGATAACTGCTTGAAAAATCGATACATAAAGAAGCATTTGTATAAATTTAATAGAGATAATTTTCAATAAATTAACAAACTTCTTGTATATTTTTTCATATAAATAAAATTAATACTACAATGACAAAGGTAAAAAATGATATAATTATCATAACGTTTTGCTTACAGGGATATGTAATAGAATCATATAACTAAAAAAGTATCTTGAGACTTATCTAATAGATTGCAATCAATATTGTTAATTTATTGCTATGAAATAATCAATTTTGAAAGTTATCTAATGTTACTATGAAATAATCAATTTTGAAAGTTATCTAATGTTACAAAACAGGAAATATTAATGCTAAGTTATTCGAAAAAGCAATTGAATAAGTAACGTACACATCATTTTTATATAAGAGTTGCACATAATGTGTAAATATGTCACGGATCATAAATAGATCATTATTATTGCAAAGAATCTAATAACATTGTGTTTATCTTTGATCTAATATTAATTAGTATACAGCCAATATTATGCCTTTACGTCAGCAAGGAAAAAATTAATAAATGTAAAGATACTACATATGCTAGAATATTTTAAAATCATCCCACAATTATATAATTTTATTCTTATTTGTACATGTAAGCCCTCTAAATATTGAATATATTCTATATTAGAAATAACATTAAACATCTTTCTCAATCTCAACAAACAATGGTTAACAGAATATAATATTATTAAATAATGCCCAGACAATACGCATGTCTTAAAGACATTTAAAAGATGCAAATTAAATTTTTTATTGTTAAAAGTCTTCTGCGAATAATTATATTAATTGTAAATAATTATAAATATAAATAATTAATATGCTAAAATAATTAATCTTACGTTTATTTTATTTAAAATGTCATAAATAAAAAAACGCGGCATTTTCTTTCAAACGTCATTCAGCTATTTTCAAGATATGCGTGTTGTCTTAAGTGGTAAATATATTATTAATTCATATAAAAACTCATAAAATTTTCCGAAGTTTTTTTCTGTGTACTATTGTCAATAAAAATGTATAAAAATGATAAAAATGCATGTCTTGTTTCGTTTATAAAATAAACAATTTGTTTGACACAAAATAAACGTAAAATTAATAATTTATTATATATATAGGCAATTAACAAAATTAGCTATTTATTCGAAAACTTTAACAAAAAAAATTTAATTTGCATCTTTTTCAAGAACATATGCAAAACTTTCTTTTTAGACAGCATGCATCATCCAGAAAAAATAGATAGAATAATTTAACAATTAAGAATTAAATAGAAATAAAAAAAATTTATAAACTTTTTATGAAATGTCGTCAACACTAATATTAACTTTAAAGAAAAACTAGAATGTAATTTACACACAAAAAAATACATAAACTTTAATTTATAATTTAAATAATATATTTGACATTTTGCATTGTTAATTTATAGCTTTTTTTATTACAATTAAAATGTTATTTCAATAATTTGATTTTTGCAAATTTAAAAATCAGCACACGTGGCATACGTATATTATTTAATTATATGTGCATTATTTATTAATTATTAAACTTGTTTTTATAATATTTTCGATAGTTGATAAATCTATATACGCGCATACTTATTTTTGCAAAAAGATATAGAAAAGGTTGGTGAAAATCAATTATTTGCTTGCTACAAAAAATAAATTAATATAGTAAAATAAAATGTTTGCAAGGTTTTACTTGGAAAAAAATTGATTTTAAAAGTTGGGAACTTAATAATACATATTTAAATTTATCGTATATGGCAGACATACACCAATTTTTTCACAAACCTATGAACTCATTATCGTTCGTCGTTACGCGCACGACATTGACGCACGTCTTTCATTATGTTCGCGGAAGTGAATTCAAGACCTTTTCTTTCGTAATACACCCCTAGATGATCCCTGACATTGTAGCTTCTTTAACCCAACACGATGACAAGTCTTTGACTAGTACTCTCCACTCGTTTACTACCGGACGCGACCACGAGTATAATTTTCAATCCTAACATAACATTTAGTGCGATTGCAACGGCATCAGAGTTGCCTTTAATCGCATTCTTGCGGTTTCCGCTCGACGATCTTCAATCCCAGAATCGAATTCTAGGATCTGTCGCAAAGAAACGCGCGATATCCTTTTGAAAATTGTAATCGGTTTTTCTTTCCGGTGCTTGTGGTATATTAAACGTATTTTGTTTCCGGTTTTTTTTCGCGCACACTCGCAGTTTGTAGTGCGCATTAGAGACCGTTGTAAGTATTACATCAGAGAAGCATGACCGATTTCGCTACGAGGATGGAACAGTGAAAAGAACAGTCGAACCGTAAGTGATTTTGCTACGATTTGTTTACACTGAAAAATAATCATACACATAGGGGTGTAACGCGGGATTTATTAACTGAAGATGGAATAATAGAAATGGCAACAGCAAGTGTGATACGCATAATAACATACATAGTATCCTGCGAGGAAGCGCGTTCTGTATAATTGGTTCCTTAATTCCACGTTACGCACAGTAATCGAATCGTTTTTACAAACGCAATATAAGACGGATATTTATTATAAAAATATATTGCAAAAATAAATTTAAAAAAGAGTCGAGTTCAAGCAACTATGTTATTTAACGTACACACAATATAGAATGCAGCTTCAAGTTTTCGGGTTACAGTTCTTTAAGTTTCAAAATATGGATATAAGAGAAAGAGAGAAGTAATAAATATTAATCGATTTTTCACTGATTATTAATCCAATTGTTCGAAACAATTTTAAGAAGAAAATGAAAAAACTTACTTGGAAAAAGGCGAAACAATCTATATTTATACTTAGTTCATTGTTTTTAATGTTCAATTTTCTCTTGGAGTGTCCTATTTAAATAATTAAATTATATATTTCTTGTATAGAAAACAAGTGAGAAACAATTGAATCCTGTTCTGCAGAGGAATGTTTAATCCAACCTATTCTAATAAAAATGACGTTTATTAACTAAGTAACTACATTTGAATCTAAGTTGCGACAACAGATACGTGATATAATTTCAGAACTGTTATTTTTATTTTTAAGTTCAATGTTATCAGATATTATCAAGGGAATCCTATACGCATGTGATCATTTTGTCATAAAAAGTTTCGAAATCATCTTGACGTGACATTGCCAAGTATTATGCGTATCATTTTTATCGAAGACAAATCGCGCTATCGCGAAATCGGCGAAGCCGGCGGCGATTCGCACGAGCTCGCTATCCAAGCTTACGCTCGACGTGTTTCCCTTACCACCGGCACTCCCGATGGACACTCGGTGGGTACTTGGTGGGCACGTGGTGGTCTCTCCTAGTGGCACTACATCGCGCTATCTCCTTGCTCGCTATTCGACAGATTGTGGACCGCGCGCGTGCATCCGAACGTCGTATCGGACCGCCTTATTTTGATTCCTCGCCTTTTTTCTCCTCTATTTATCTTCTCATTCTCCCTCTCTCCCTGCCTACATTATTTTCTTCCCCAATAATTTATTCTTCTCTCTCTTTCTCCGTTTCTTCTCCGCACGGGAACTCGTGAATTAAAAAGGGAGCTCGCGGCCGCCCGCCAGGATTTATTCGCGGAGACGCAGCGAGTGATCTTCACATGCAGAGTGCGGTCGAAGAATTTTACTGTGTGATCGATACTGGGCTGCTGAGGAAACGTTTTGTTTTTCATCGAGGAGAAAAAAAAAAGAACGAGTAACAAATGTTATGACTGTCGATGGGAAGTGAGCTTTTAAGCCAGGAAGAGAACCGTTGGAGCCTAGAGTTTTTGCCCGTCCTCGGGTCGCACTTGGATAAATTCGATAAATGTCTCAATCGTTCGATGCCGGATCCTTCGGCCGCAAACACTGACGAGATCTCGTTATAAGAGGTTCGCCGGGAAAGATAAAGAAAATTAGAAATCGAGGATATCGGAATACCGCACGAGACTGAAACGCATAAATTGTACCCAATAGCAGGATAGAGAAACTTTGCACGGTGCTCTCCCCTGCCGCTCTTCCGACTCTCTTTCCCGGAGAACTTGTGCGTTACATAAAGAATTTTACTGGTCAGTTAATGAACCCGGCTGTGCGTGCACTCGTGGAACATCCAACGACGCCGACGACGACGAAAACGACGGCGAGGACGACGGCTTGCTCGTTATTACGTAAGTAAATATGAATAATTTGTTATCTGAAAGCGCTGAAGAATGTCGTCCAAGAACAGGGTCACGTGGTGTCGTAATACACGCGTCGGAAAATGCACCGGGAAAGACGAGTGACCATAAAAGACAGGTGTATCAAAAGGGAGAATAGAATTCGGCAGAACTTCATTTTATGCGAAATTCGAACTTCACTAACTAATTTTGAAAATACATCAATTAACAAGACATGATGACAGAGTTGATAATTGTTTTTCGAATTATTGGAAGACAAAATAAATATACAATAGTATAAATATATAGTTCTTTTTCTTATTAAAATAATATTCTTGAAACAGCAAGCTGATAGAGCAGAAGCTAGTTATAATTGCTCAAATTTTCCATTTATTACAAAATAATCACAAATACAGACGTTTCGGCCTAAAGGACGTGGCCATCTTCAGTGTAACAAATTAATATAAATGATGTCGTCGTTAGTCGGAAAACGTTGACAAAATAAATAATAATTCTACACTTTTTAATTAATTTCTTTGAATAATAATTTAAATCTTCCGATATGCTTTTAATGATGATCAATATTACAAATATTCGAAACATTAAGCTATTGCTTCACAACGATCATCTCACTCAGTAATGTTTACATGAGAGATATTGAAATGTCATCAGTGCGTGCGAATTCTACTGTTACACGCTGTGTACAATCATATGTTTAGAAATAAATTAACCAATTTGTATCAACTTGTATTTGTCATATTTCATGGAATTCTTTTTAAACGTTAATTTTTTACTCTGTAAAAATCATTAATTTAGCAGGCAATAAATTAAAAGAATTTTAGTAGAAAAAAGTCTACAATTAAACCATCTAGAGTCTGCGAAAGAAATCTTAAAGAAATTTTCTAAATAGAAATCAAAACAGGTTGAACAATTTATTAAAAAGTTTGTCTCACGAATAATGCTACTTATATAAAGTCTTCACTTTTGAAACGAGGCCGTCGTATATCCTTATAACATAAAGTAACAATATATATAAAAAAAAGCGGCTTTATACAACGCACAAAAATCTCAATAATTTGACCTGGATATGCGTATAATATATATCTCGACATACTTAAGTCTAAAGCGGATGAATTAGCCGCAACAATTACGCGTAATGCATCGAGAAATCTTCCTTGCAAGTAAGACCGCGGAGTGATTTATCGTCCGTAGAAGATTGATTATTAACATGATACATTAAAAGCAAGTGTGTTACTTAACATTAACGGAGTCAATCGTGAAGCTTACATGTTGACCGATTTCTCGTGTACCACTTAGAAGCGTCGGAAACGAGTCCTTGGAGAATGGAACGCCGATCGACGAATCGAGGATTTCGTCGACGGCTTGCGAGTTTTCAACGTTAGAATCGTTGTTGATCGCATACGCATACGCTGCGTCATTCAGTGGATAAAAAACGAATTAAGTTTTATTGGGAATTCACTTTCAATTTTAGATTATATAATCTATTTGCAAAATCAGGTCACCTGAACTCTCGAATTTATTGCACGCATTCGAATATTTATAGTCTGGAAATCTATATATCTGTTTATTTTTTCTCTTCTGGAAGAATTAATTTTCTGGAAGAAATACTTTTTTTTGTCTAAATACAAATAAAATCCAAATCAATTCTTTTGATCTCGGAGAAAAACATATCGAAATGTATCCAAAGAATTAATTTTCAGTACTTTTTTCTCATCAAAATGCAAATAAAATGCAAATCAATTTTTTTCATATCGGAATGTATTCGAATTTAATTTAATTTCGTCATGCGATAAAATGCATCTTTATGCACACTTCTCACCGATTAATACTTCTTAAGCCGATGGCTTTTGACACTAATAAATCCATCATATGAAGTGACTTTTCACCGGATTACATATCTTTTTAACGACATTTCTATTATTTGCATGCAAACATGTGATCGTTTCTTTTCTTTAATTTATATGGATTAGCGACACTCTCATTATTTTGTCTGCAAATAGATACTGTGAAATTATACTTATCTAAAGTTCAATAGTCGAAAACATGTTATCGGGATGATACCGCCGAAATTATAAATTTATATAAAATTTTTATATCTTTCTGTCACCATAAACTTCTCGGATAAGTTAACGGGCGTGAAATATACGCCCGTTAACTGAATTTTCGCAGCTATGTCTACATCTATAGATAATAGATAATAGATAATAGATAATAGATAATAGAAAATAATAGATAATAGATATAGAAAATTCAGTATTGCGCTCGAACGTTTTACAAAGTTTTGCAACAAGCTTGTACACAATACATTTTTTAGAGAAAACTTTTTAACGCAGTCAGACTGCCGGCTCGGGCAATTGCGTGAATGATTCGGGCGTATCTATTGCTACGGAAGTTGAATTATATTAGATGTTTCAAAATGCGCGCTGAGCTGTTGAACCTATGTACGGTTAGAATGCTCTTCTTCAGACCGTCCGGCAATGCGGAACGAGTAATCATTATTTTCCCCTTTGCTTCACATTGCTTGTACGTGTCGTTCTGCTATGTTATTATCTACGCCGAGAACAAGTTGTTCTTGCAGTGTAATTTCGAGGAATCCGACGGATCTTCCGAAAAATTATTCGCGGACAAGCACTGTATTAACGTAACCGTTATCGCACAATCGAGCAGCGTGCGCAGTCGATTTGTGTAATACGATGAAATGATATAGAAAAGGTTGTGGTTGCAGCGCGTATGATTTAGAGCGATGCGAATCGGATGTTGCATTTGCACTTTGCGAGCGTGCTGAAACTTATATTTTCTATATCGAAATTGCGAGCGGATTACTAACGTTTAATTGCTAGAATTGCGCGATGTTTTTCACGCCAGGAAAGAAATGGAAAGTCCGTCCGCCGTAGTGACCGCCGCTCTTTTCACGAATATTGCTCAAGATAATACGGTCAGTACGGACCATTTCGAAATTCGAAGAAACCCCGAGAAAGCAGCTTTAACGCATGCGGTGGAAGGACTCGTGCGTAAACACGAATTTCAGACGGGATTGCAGACACGTAATCATTTTTGCCCAATTTTTCGCAACGCGTCCACTATTTACTGTTCCAATTCCGCGTAAATTAAAAAGTCATGCCGACCACTGATGTAATTAATAATAATAGCAGTGATTTGATTCGAAGAGTCTCAGATAAAAATAACGGGCAATGCAAAGCATTGCGTTGAAAAATTTATTTCAATTTTATGAACAAATAACATTGAAAATTATTTGCGTAATTAATTTTATTATAATTTTAACATATAACTCTTTTAGCATGTTCAAGTGTTCAAACATTGTACAAAATACAGGTTTTATTAATGAAATAAAGCTGCCTGGAAAATAAATAGAAAAACCGGATATATTATTGATAGAAATTAATATTTGACATCTAAGTTTTATATTTCTTTCTTAAAATTCGAATAAACCTTTGAATAAATTGAATATTTTTTGTATGCCTATAAATATTCAAAAATTTCTACGAATTAAAAGAAAGACTATTTTCTGAGAAAATTATCGCTGGATATAAGACGTTTCTGTGTTCTTTTGACTTCTCCGAAGTACGTACAGAGACTTTACAAAGCACGTAACGTAAATAGATAGATTCATTGGTATCTTTACTCACGATTAGCACTAAATGCGTGGAAAAAAATAAATGGCGTAAGTAAAATCTTATCAATATCGAAATAAAGACGTATTGCAATTTTGATAGCTTTTATTAAATATCCTTATAATTGTGATTTGCAGCAAGCATAGCCACATTAAAAGATGCAATCAATTTATTGAATTCTATCTCTTTCGTTTATCAAATTTTTAGAGGGACTATAAGTCGTGCGTTATCGCATAATGACCGCCGTTTGAATAGCAATTCTCTGATATACTTAATTACCTAATTATATATGTAAAGAGAATTCTCGCGTTTAATTATATGCTTTATTTAGTTAATATGCTAAGAGACTTTATACTTATGAAGCGACTGATTATTATGGATCATAATTACTTGCGACTGAATAATTCTTCATAAAAAATGACGGTCTAATTAAAGCAAGATTTATAACTGCATATAATTAAGAAATAATCCATTCACAATCGCCGATTACCAAGACACAAGGCTCGTATTATTGTCTGAAAGCCGAGAGAAACAATAAGTCGTCGTGACGTCGTAACGTCGAGAATTAGGAGTTTAATTTCAAAAAAATGTAATTTTAAAATTAATTTAAAAATATAATTTTTTTTTCAATTTTTCTTTAGTTATAATTTTTTTGCAAACATTTAAATAAAAGGATTTTCCAATACTTTGCTGCGCAGATACATTAAAATGCGATTGAAATGCGTTTTTTGCATGTTAATATTAATATTAATAAAGTAATTTATATTGACGCAGTTGGTGATAATCGGTGCTGACAAAAAGACAATTTGCAAGAAAAAAAGAGATCTAGAAATACAAGAGCACGATGTAAAAACATATTTTACATGTAATTTAGCATACTAAAAAATAAATGTAATTTATAAAAACGTAAGCAAAATATTCAATATCAAATCATCGCTCAATTATTTCAGCTCAATTATTTCTGAACAGTAATTATATCAATCGCATTAATTTATAGATCGATTTGCAATGTCATGAAAAGGAAGCATAAAGCAAAAATAAAATAATTTATAGATAAAAAAAAAGTTGATAAAAAAGAGAATATTGTGAAATAAAAATCTGTGTCAAACAAAGGTTTTTTAAAATCGAAAGGAAATAAATGGACACAGGTGTGTAAAGACCGTACGTAATATCAAAGTTCATGTATTACGTAATTGAATTAAATCGAGCAAGGACGTCAGAAAGCCACAATAATAATTTATGGATGCGTGATTCTGTTTCCTTGGCGCATGTGTGATCTTCCGGCGAAAGTCTCGCGCGATGTGTTGAAGAACCATCGATTATTTCATTGCACGCGTGCAAGTTTTGCGTGACGGAGCGGTGCTCGCGGCATTGGTACACATCATCCCGGATGGTTTCACTTCTTTCGGTAATGTCGGGAGGTCGTGAAAGCTTGATCTAGTTTGGCGTTCGCGCGCAACAGCAGACGGAAGCGTGCGTCTATGTTCCTGTGCCCGCATTCGCGAGTGGAAAGGCAGCTATCAGATTTCCTTTTCGCTATCACAGCTCAAATGATTGCTGTCGCGTTTGAGGTCATTACCATTACCGGTTGACAAGAAGAAGAATGAAAATAGATATCATCACGAAGAGAAAGAGCAAAAGAAGCGAGAAAAAAAAGCAATTCTAAACTGAAATCTATCTGAAATGTCAATGCGGCGAAAATGTAATATTGTAATAGTAAATTTCATATCCTGACATAATCTGCCTTAATAAACCATAACCTGAATATCTATAAGCTATCTACAGGTGCAGCGAAAATCGTACAGTGAAAATAAGATTCTTCTTCGTACAAAAATCGAAGATATAAAACAATACGTTTGATACAATCTTTGTTTTTGAGAAAAGGAAATTATTTTTAGTCTGATCTTATTCTTGTTATTAATTTTAAACACAATACGCCGAAAAAATTCGAGCTTTAATTAATACTAAATAATTTTATCAAAGATATGCAAATTCAAAAAGTTAAGCAATGTTATTAATTTTTTAATTTTCAAACACAATTTTCTCAAAGTAAAACTTCATATGAAAAACGTATTATTTTTATTTTTATACAAAACAGACGCGCCATATATAAGGATTCGTGTAGATATTGAACTTTGATGTACATAAATCGTTTATACATCCGATAAATGTACGATGAAGGCCGAAACCTTAACCGAAGGAAATTTCAAGGGTTGAAAATTTGCATGCTATGGGCGTTTCTATCGAACGTTGAGCGAACTAATCCTAGGAATTTTATTTGCTTCACTTTCTAAAAATAGATGTTAACGTTCTCCTATATAACAGTTAATGATAGATTGCCTTGTTTCTTGATTTTCGATTGAAAGTTGTATTGGTAACCGCTCTACTATTTGCTCACTGTTTCTACCATGAAATACCAGACACGATTCATAATGAGATAAACAATTAACGTTATTATGCGCTACATAGGTATGCCAGAACATAATTATATCGTCAGCGATGTTCGGAAATGCAAGTTTAAAGAGCTGTTTAAACCGCAAACACTGTCGCCGCAAAACACACGTTATGCTGCGCAAGTGCGAATTATACACTACGGTAATATGTTTAATAAGCAATAAAAATACATTTTGCGTGAGCGCATTTAATGGAACGAACTCTACAACAGTTTCTTGCACGGTTCGCATAGAATCGTTCACGTACAGTACTTCCTGCGCAGTTCTTATCTTATAGTAACAAATTCTCCGAATGTAAGATACATTTTATCATATTCTACACATTACCCGCATTAATATAGCATACTATAGATTACGGTACAGCATAAAGATAAATGTAGATAGATAATCGAAGCTGGGGACCGCCTGGCGCACTGTCGCTGCGAAAGTGGCAGGACCAGTTAACAATACAAGTTGCTGTAACAGCGCGTTAAGCAAGAAGAGACAGTTTTTAGTATCGAAAGTCCCGTTTGGCGATCGCCCTTGCGGACGCAAGACAGAAAGTCCCGGCTATACGAATCGCGTTCGCGTATATTATTTTCTGCGTGCAAGGTGCGCGCACCTATACATTCTTAAAGAGAAAGAGCGGATTTACGCGAGCACAACCGAAACGCTTCAGCGCGATCATATGTGTAACGGATGTGCATAGCTATTATTTATCTCGAGAGACCTTGAAGCAACTCGGAGCACGTTGATTTGACTTTTGTAAACAATTCGGACTTGCGTCCATGTTTAAAAAATTCGCCGAAATCGTGTGAAATATCATGATCCACATCGTCGGCAAATGGAGAATAAACAAACTCCTTCAATGTTAAGTTGACAATGTTAAGTTGACAAAAAATCTTAATTATCATTTAACTGCTGTCTTCGCACATTTTCAAAAGCCATTGCCTATGCACTGTCGGAAATCGTTTTAGTCATTTGTTTACCATGGCGGCTATATTTGCGTCATCGTATTTACTGTGAGAATCACTTTTCTCCGAGAGAGAGGTATTCACGACAGAGGTACTAATAAATTCACGGGAATTTTGCTACTCCGAGAATCTTACATTTACGTTGAATCTATAGTCGAGAGGAAGTGCGCTAGTTCTAATAGGCAAAGCGATACGCAAAGCCGACATTTTACGCCCTCAAGAAGAATCTTGCAAATGAATCGTGAGAGAGAAAATTGATGATTTTTTATATGCTTCGGAATCAATGAAAAACGTAGTACCGAAATCATAAAGTTAATGAAATAAACAATTTTTAATAAAAAATAATTTGTTTTATATTTGAACTTCAAATGCGATATTTGACGTGCAAATTTTTTGCGACAGCAAAATCTATTTCGCTGGTAGAATGGATAAATTCTGCTGAATATATTTGTTTGTAAAGACATTAATTTGCAGCCGCGACAAAATAATTTATTTCTAACAAATGTATGTAAATGATTTATTCCTAACAACTGTATTTTGCTGTTGCAGCAAAATTGTCGCTGCCAATACAAATTTTGATGATAAAGATTGAGAATGCGTCAGCAATATAATTGCTTAATTGAATGTTTCAACAAATATCACTTAACACAACATAGCATTTATATGTTGTGAAACGAATAGCGCGATTACACGATATATTATAAAACATTTTAAACCGCCGTTTCGTTCTCTGTATTTGATAGTATATATTTATCTGACAAATGAGCGAGAGCTGTTTATGTAATGCTTCAAAGATTATTTTAATATATTTTTCATATATTCTGATTGTTTGAGAACAATTCTTTTGACAAATATTAAGCATTACAGAATTTTATAATTAAATTTTAATAGAAGTTTTAGTTTTTAAATAAATTAACCAAAAAATCTATATCATTTATTTATATGTATATATATGTATTTTTTCAGAAATATATTTATATAAAAATCTATTTTTTAACATCCATTAATGTCTCTGCATTCGATTGCTACACAAAAAGAACAATTTTGCTGAAAGATCTAAAAATTGTGCCAAATACAGGTCAGAAAATAAATTTTGTTGGACAATCAAAATGTATTAATAGAACACTCGAAACTTTTTGCTGCAATGTGAAAGAAATTTTGAATGTCCAACAAAATTTATCTTCAGATTTATTATTTGTATCTGACATAATCTTTAGATCTTTCAGAAAAAGTGGTCTTTCCGTGTATCAATATTCACTAGAACTTCTTATAAAAAAAAGTATAATAAGTATGAAATAATTTAAATAACAAGTTCGTAAAATGTCACTTTCATAATAATTGTTATTCTACTACCATACTTTTTGTAAGATATTGTTTTTATTTGTATTTCCCGGGATGCCCGCAGGATGCTATGATCTTTGTTCTACAACCTTCGACATTATCAATCGACTTTTTTGCGATCTATGGATTCCCCAGTAGAAAACTTGTTTTTTTTTCGATTAATATTCATTTTGTGTTACGTGGATTTTAACTTTATACTGATCGTTGTATCTTAATGTATTATGAAAGAAATAGTATAACAGTATCTATAATTTACAACTTTGCCTTGACAATATTTATGAAAAATTGATATTAAAATATATGCTAAATGTAGCATTTTTTAGATGTTATTGCATGCAACTTCATTATAAATTTTTTACAATCGTTATGACGTCTCCCAGATATAAATCAACTGTGCCAATTTGTCTTTGACGTGAAAAAGATTTCTACAAAGTGTAATTATTTCTCCGTAATTGGTGTTTATTTCAAAACCTAAGATTATAATTTAACGCCATCTTTAACATAGTGCCAAAAAACATATCTCAAGATAAAAATTTAAATAACGCTCTTACACTCACACAAACACACACACACACACACACACACACACACACACACACCACCACACACACACAATAGAAACGTAAAAAATTTGAGGCAATATTCTTGTCAAAAGATCGTTTTTTATGTCAATATTTTAAAAATCAATATCATAAAAAAAGGTGAGATATTTCATGCGTGCAAAAATATAAATTCAGCGGTTTTCTTAACTGTGACCGAACGACTTTAATATTGACACAGACGTGACGACGAAAAAAATTTTGGCAGAAATGCATACTTTGCATTTACGTAACGCGTGCGCGATGACAAGTTACACCGCGGGATTCATCGCGAGAACTTGCTTTTCGTTGTAATAAATGTTACGCCGCAAAAGGATCCAATGCGACCGGATTCTTTCTTGCCCCCCTACCCTTCTATTTTTGTAATTTCAATTCGGTTTCGCATTTCAGGCAAAAGTCAAGAATGAAGGACCAACGGCGGGATCACGACGAGTGAAAGTGAAGCCGGGGCAACACGCGCTTTACCTGGACCAGGTGTGAAAGCGCAGTGCGCAATACGTACGCCGGGAACACGTGGTGTGGTGATACCTGTCGAAACCGCGTTATCGGCACGGCACGACGACAAGGACGAGTGATAATAATAATGGCGATTATGATAACGTTGTTGCCACCTCACCGCGAGAACCATGCCCGGTGTAGTAACATCAGATGATGAAGATGATGAATATTTCGCAAATGCAACACGCATCCTGTTAATTAGTCACCACTGGCCGATTATTTAATCCACTTTTATTCCGCTTTTACTTTTATTAAAATTAATGGTTTTAATCGAAAATCGAGGACCACCAGTCGAGATAGAAGTGATTGATACCGGAGTTTCTTCAGAAGACGAATCATTGCGAAGAAACGATTAATCGAACGAATCATAAACTATTATTCAAGGTTTAGGTTGGAAATACGTGACGTTATTGATTCGGATTACTCGGACCATCCATTAATTTTTATCAGTGTCGTGAATTATTCTATCGAAGAATTTCAAGAGAAGATTGTTTTCTCTTTACGGCGTAAATCTATCGAAAATTCAAGATGAAATTCATCGCATCCTTGTTCGGGACGGGATCTCCGAAGGCGATGGGCAGGCAGTACATGAAGGTTGGCCGAAACGCGCTTTTCGGTGTGAGGACTAATCACAATGATGATATTTGTACCGAAAAAGTGCCGAGGCCGCTATCCTTGCTAATCTCCAAGAAGGGAAAGCTCAGACATAGTAAGTTGTTATATGTTTTATTTAATATTAACGAGAGATCACTTTCAGAGAGAGAGAGCTATAAATCCTTTCATGTTTCTATTGCAGTCTATCGTCTGTATTTTTGTTCAGCTAATTATTAAACCTGATCTTAAAACGTTAATTATGCGAATCAAATCTTGACAGCTGAGTATGATTATTGAGCACCGGCAAGGTTCACTCTTGCATAATCGGCATATAATAATCCGGTTAATATATTCTAAGTTGCAATCCGTAATGTAATTTTCTACCATGACTAATGATAACTTATTGTTAGATACTCGCGGATTCGCGCTGGCAATCAGACTGTAACCAGATTACGGCACGAGTAGTATATCGCCATTGTTTATAAGCTTCTTAATTAACTATATTGTCTGGAAAAGTAATCAATTTAGCGTCCATTGATCACATGATATTTCGCTAATAATGCTCGTTAGAAAATATGCAAATCACGTAGAAGAGTTACAGGGATATTATATATGATTAAGCAATTTCTTTGTGGAAAGAATCATTGAAGTATACCGCATGTTTTGGAAAATAACAACAATGATTTTTGATGAAATACAAAATTTTCGCAACAAAAAATTGGAACGAGACATTAACTAAAAGTAAAAGACTTGCTAAGATTAATTTATTAAGATTTAATATTAAAAAAGAAAAATATTAAATCCTTATAAATTAATCTTATAAGCAATATCAAATATATAAATAAAATTTCTGTTAATACAACATTTAATTAAAATTTATTGAAAGAACTCGGAGTTGTTGTTTTCTATTCAGTCGTCGTTCTCGATTTCTATTGCAGATTATATAAAGCCGAAGGTATTTAATTCTTAACGTTAAATATTTATTAACATGTTTTTGCGTCGAAACAACGCTGTTTTTAATATTGCTGCTAAAGCAGTGTAAAATAATTTTGACTAACGATTGTTACTCGCGATTAATTTGTATCAAAGTGAGAGCTGCCGTATCAAACTATAACTCTCACCATGTTCAATGAGCGTGCATAATTATCATTGCGGGCAAGGTTAACCAGTCTATTCTGATTGCATGGTAATCGAAATATCCGCGTTAACTTGACAAACAACGAACACAGGTGGAATCTCTACGCCGTTCATCGTCAGACTGGCTAAGTCTAATAGAGGTCGTGGACTCAATTAAAGTCGTAATAAACTACGTGTTAAATTTTTGCAACGATGCGCCAATAAAAAGCATCTAGTAAAATCAATCTTTTTGCATGCGACTTTATCAAATTTTTATGATAATTATTATGACGTCTTCTACATATAAATCGATTTGTTTTCAACGTAAACAAGATTTCTACAAAATGTAATTATTTTGTAACGGGTGTTTATTTTAAAATCAGGCCTCTTTTCCCGATGCGAAAACTTTTCGCCAATATTTTTATTTAATTCATTATTAATTCCTGTTAGGTAATATTCCTTGAATTACAGAATGAGTTACTTATTTTGAAAGTAATGCGTTTTCAAAATAAAATCGTCGATATTTCCGCGAAGAAAAACACCTGTTTCGAATTTTCCTAAACAATTTATTGAGAGAAAGTATACAAAGTTTAGAACATACCTTTCAACCATCTAAATTTATTCTGATTCATACTAGATACGGTGCTGTGAGCATACGATACTTTAGCATTGTAACGTCGCTTTATTTGATCAAGACTGCAATCTACAATACACTTAAGTCACTTGAGTAAATTCGTGTTTACATTTTTTTTCTTTTACTTTTTCGTCATAAAAATTTAATTAGGCATCTTCTCTTTTTACAGCTTTTTAATTTTTAATTTAAAAGATGCATTGATAAAGTATACGGTAACACTGGAAATATTTCACGCGTTTTTTATATAAAATACTGCACCTGACGTTTTTCATTTATTGTTACTTCTATTCTCATCAAACAAGAAAAAGGAAAAATATAACTGTATAAAAATTGTTACCGCAAGAAATATTAAATCATCAACTGCAACAGATGTATACAGATAACGATCTATAAAGGCTGCTTTATTTGAAATACGATTTCTGTGCAATTTGCAGTTTTAACTATTCAAGCAATTTATTTAACTAATTGAGCAATTTATGATGGAAATAGATCTACAAATGTTGCTTATTAAATTCTAATGTTTCGATGCATGTAACAATTATAGATGAACAAATTATCTTAATTATAAAAGATAAGATTATTAAAATGCATGAAGTTCATTCCTCCGAATAAGTTTCTTTCCGTTTTGTATATCATACAAAAGAATGTTCAACATTTCTATACCGGAATAAATATTAACACCCATGTTCTAAAGCGGAAAATCAACATCGACATTTGCTCGTTAATAGGTGTAAAACATATAACGGTAAAATTAATGTAAAATTAATGAGAAGAATGAAAATCTACGTACAATTTACAACGTGATGTGCTTAGCAGCAAACCGAAACCAATTTGAAAGATTAATTGTTCTCAATTAATTAGAAAAGGCACGTTGTATCAAAAACTAATTGTAATATGTACTTTAATTCTGTCCTTTTCACCAAATTAAATTTTGTGTAAAACTTTTATCAATTTTTTCACGGAAGAATCGCAATTTGCTACAGAACCTATTACTTGCAATTGATAGAAAAGCTGATAGCAACGAGACACCCTATATACATATGCGTGCAATGCTAAACGTGTGCAATATAACCGTAGGCCGGAGTGCAGTGGGTCAGTGGAACGCGAGTGATAGAGGACAGGTTGCACAGCACAGTTACGCATCACTTCGATTACGCTTCACTATCGCCAACGCTATCGCCAACGCTAACATCCTTACCGTAAAAAGCTTGCCACTTTGAGGAACGCATAGAAACTGATTTTTCCAGATTCATTGCATTCTGCGGGAATCTTGAAAAACCCCGTTGATGGCAATTGTGATAGTAATATACGGAAATGCCGTTATAAAGAAAGTTTTCAATTTAATTTTACTCGCAGCATCGGCGAGAAGCAATGAAGCGCGCATAAAATACGGCATCAGTAAGCATTCAAGTCTCCGATGACATTCTACACGGCATTGAAATCTCCAAGTCTAGAAAAGAAAAGCCTCGCCGTTTCTTGCGCACCGTAAAATCTTAATAAATTTATGTGAATATTTAATATATTCATATTTCTAATTTTTGTAAATATGGTCATATCTAAAGTATGATTTTGAAAGTATTAGAAGATATCTTCCTAAACATTTGAATACATAAAATAAAAAGCTTCTTACACTTTGTCTTCCGGGCAGACGATCCTCATCCTGCGTCTAATGTATCTTTCATTCCGCGATACCGTTAGGTTCTACGAGAAAATATGAGTTTCTGCTCGTCTTATTTTCACCGTGCGCGGTATTAACGGCAAACGCGCGGCACGATTTTCACTCACGCTTTGCATCACGCGAGATAGGTACGCTCTTACGTAATTCGAAACTCGTTAACTGTTCTCAAAATCTTTCTTTTAGCTTTTTTTTTTCACTTTTTGTTTCCCGGAATCGGAATGCACATTTTTAATAAACACTTTTTTTCTCTTCAACGCAAAAGATTATTATTAATATTAATTAACATTTAATTAACGTTAATTAAATGTTAACAGAAATGTCATTTAATTAATATTACACAAAAATTATACAATTTTAAATATTAATTAAATGACATTTTTCAAATCTAAATTAATATCTTTAATTAATATTAATTAAATGACATTTTTCAAATCTAAATTAATATTTCAAATTGTGCAATTCTATTGCTAAAGTATAAATATATTCAGACGATGGAAGTTGACGTATATAAAAAAAAAAATAATTGCTATTGTGATTAAATCGTGATAATATCTTCTACGAAACAGCAAAGTCATCGATTGGTAATAATGTACATTATACAGAATAAAAAAAAAAATCGTAACGTTCACCGCCAAAATACTTCGACAAAGTGCTGAGATTGCACGACTTTTCAAACCACATAATGATCGAGGACAAAAGGTAAATAAGTTTTAACCGCTAAAGAGACTGAAGAAAAAACATGATAAATCGTGCAATGTACCGCGAGCACGGCGCAAATCATTTATCTATTATTATTATGTGCCGTAGCGAGGTGCGTTGACATTACTATGCCACATTCATAGATCCGAGTGGCCGCGGCAGAGCGCTATCGACTTTCTAATACGACGCTCGTCCTGCAATGCGTCGGGATTGTCATTGTATAATGTAATGATACACAGATTGGCGATATCATGGACAGCCGCTATCGAATCACGCGATCTCGTTGTTTCGCTTCATGTAAAAACACTTAGTATCATTGTTTTCCATATTTTTTGTGGATCACATGTGCGTGGAGAACGCTTGATATCACGTTCTGCTCGATCTCTATGATTTATCTCGGTTTCGAGAACTGGAATAACCAGCGTCATTCTACACGCCGCCGGATAAAAGGCATTCCATATACAGATTTCTCCGAAATCGCATAATTTCGTTGAGTCACTCGGACATTGATCTAAGAAGAATGCATTCTAGGCGAGAGAAAACTGAAAGTTTTACGCAGCGTTCTGGAAGTGAGTTAGCCGTCGTTAAAAGTTAAATCAGACATTCGATATTTGCAATTGTGAAAAAGATCTAGTGTCCCATAGATAAGTAACACTCGGTAATCTCAGTGCATGTATGGAAGGAATGAATGGCGTGCGTCTAATTTCAAGTTCATACTTAAATTGCGATGGGTCACGGCTGTATTATTGGAGAAAATCACGCTATTTTCTTGTATTGCGGAAGTTGTTAACACATTTACATCAGTTAAATTACATCAATCTACGTAACGAAAGTTTCAGCGTAACTACGCAGAAGGTCGCAGGTTACGTTACATTGTTGCATATAGCATACTCTAAAATTAAAGAAGATTTTTGTGACCGATATATATATATTCTCGTTTCTTCGCCTCGCGTGTCTCGGACAACAAAGTTGCAACCCAAATTAAAAC